ACCAGGTGCCAGATTAACACCAATAACTTGGAGGTATCTGAAAGTGTTCTCTAATTCTTTTTTAAATATCTCATTTAAGGTTTTTATGCTGTGCTTCAGAATACAACTAATTTATGAAATATGCTTAACAAAAACTGCCCTTCTACTCTTGTTAGGATAGCTTCAAATAGCAGTGACCTTGAAATTTAGGAAATTGTAGGTTGTTCTCTCATTTTGATCTCCTGTATATATACATATACACTACTGTGTAAACACTAATGTTATATATATATATATATATATATACATATACACTACTGTATAAACACTAATGTTATATATATATATATAAATTTAAACTGTAATAAAATGTAGCTTTTTTTTCTTTAATCAAATAAATTTAGCCTTGGTGGGCATAAGAGGCTTCTTTTAAAAACATTCAAAAATCTTACTAATCTCAAACTTTTGAAATTGGTGTAATTTCAATGTAAAATGTTTTGAGAAATGTTAAAAGATACAATTACTGTTAAAAATACTATTAAACCATTATTAATTATAATCTCCCCATGGGGTTAACTGGCATTATTTTGTCACAAACAAATAAATGCATGTTAAATATTCCTTGACTTTGCACTTGCACATTGTTGGCTTATATCAATGTTTCTCGCACCAAGGACGAAAAATGAAAAGAATGAAAATTGTGCCAACCAACCCAGTTCTGCAGTTAATTCTCTTTATTTCCCACACTTTTCCTTTCCTCACTCCTGCCAAGGATAGCCTTCATCACAGATTTCTGTGAACATCAAAGTCCTGTATTTGATAAATGCTGGTGTTTTCTACATGGATTTTTCCTGTACAGCATTCCTGTTCTGCTTGCCTTTTCACAAGGAAAACAGTGTTTGGCTCTACATTCGTGGCTCCCTATTAAGAAACTCTGTTGTTGACCACTTCCTATGTTCCTAGTATCAAACAGACTTTTGAAATATTTGGTATGCCAAATATTTTGGACTGACACTGTTTTGTTTCTCAAGCTGCCGAGCAAAATAGAACAAGCACAGAGTGAATGACAAACAGTCTAAATATTTCGTATGCATGCATTTTTCATGCAAATCGGCACAAATGACTAGAATGAAACTTAAGATGGGTCTTAAATGTAATTGCATAACACTTAAATGGAATTCCATAATGCTTACCAAGAAATTAAAGAGAAGGTATACAGACTCACAGTTCCCTCTGGAGGTCTACTCAATAAACATGGGTAATATCGTCAACTCTCTCCAGAATATAATAAACCAAGCCAAAACTTTCTGGGATTCTGATTCAATCACATGCGATGACGTAAGTAACTACCATATATATATAGCCTTTATATATTAATTGTATTTCCACCATATTTTTAACGTAAGATCGGGCGCGGCCATTTTTACATTGATGAATGTACGAACTAGGCTTCCGGTGTCAGCCAAATTTTTTTTTAGCTTTGCAAAAACAGTCCATTATACTGCTTAAAGGCACAATATGTAAGATTTTCGTAATAAAATATCCAAAAACCACTTTCACGGTGTTATGTATTTTATGCAGTTGTGTACTTACGTTATCCCAAAAGTTCCCAGGGATTTGTAAATCCAGAGAAATTCCAATTTTAAATAATGGCTGTCCCGGTTCATTGTCACCTATCAATGACGTAATATCCGTGCTATCGGTTTCTGCTTGTAGATCTGCTCAATGTTGCACCATGATTCTTTTTTAGGCGTTTTTACAGCGTTGCGCATTATAACCAATCACACGCGAGTCTGTTGAGCTTATGAACGCAACGGCCAATCAGAGGCATTCAGATGAGTCATAGCTGAAATGCAGGAGTTTTTTTTGTTCAGTGAGCGTGCTCGCTGACTGAATTCTGCTCTCTCGTGGGTTCTCTCCTCATAAACAAAAAAGTGCAGATGTACGTATGATGTAAGTAGGAGATTAATTCATCAAACAGTGTAAAGACAGCCTAGATTAATGGGAGTTGTGTGCTTAAACTCGCGCTAGATTTAAGCAAAGTCCCTGAACTTAAGTCAATCATACTGGTCGTTGACAATGTTAATGTTCCAATGTAAATGCCTTTAAAGTTACAAACTGGTATTTGTTACCATGTTATTTTCATTTATTATCATAAAAACACTGCTTTATAGCGCAAACAGTTTGACTATTTACTGAACTTTTGTTTGTTTGTTTTACGTATATGAATTGGAAGTCTCACATGCGCAGTGTAAATCTTAACTCTGCATTAGTAAAATACTCTATTTGAACAGTTTTTGTGCTGATACCCTTGTGAAAAAGAAGTGCGCTTAACGGTATTGAAATGTGTACCTGTAGTGGACTTCAAATCTTAAAGGGATAGTTCACCCAAAAATGAAAATTACCCCATGATTTACTCACCCTCAAGCCATCCTAGGTGTATATGATTTTCTTCTTTCAGACGAATACAATCAGAGTTATATTAAAAACTGGATGGAAGTCTGGATGGATGCACATTTTTGGCCTTCAAAATCTCAACACCCATTCACTGCCATTATAAAGCTTGAAAGAGCCAGGACAATTTTTACAAAAACGTACAAAAACACACGAATCGATGTGTTTTTGTAAGAAAAATATCCATATCTAAAAAAAATTTAAACCATAATGTCTAGCTTCTGCTGTTGAATGTGTGCACATGAGAGAGTGGCATTCCAGCGGATGACGTAAGAGTAGCGTAAGCTCTATTTCTTTTTCATAATATGGAAGTCAATGGCTGCCAACTGTTTGGTTACCAACATTCTTCAAAATATCTTTTGTGTTCAGCGGAAGAAAGAATTTTATACAGGTTTGGAACAATTTGAGGGTGAGTAAATCATGACAATTAAAATTTTGGGGTGAACTATCCCTTTAAGTAGAACTTAAATACACTTGATTTCTATTGAAACTTGTATTTAAATATATTTGTAACAAAGACAATAATAAAATATTAAAATAATATGGATGCAAACAAACCACTGGCGCATGAGATGATTTTGTAATTTCTCTGTATAATCAGAATACATGCCTCTATTCTCAACCTAAGCTGTACAGTTAGTTTCTCCAGAGTCACTGAGATGATCCAGCTTGACTGGCAGATCATAAGGTGCCTCTGAGATCTGGACAATTTAATTTGACATTTGATTTACTACCACAGGTGTGGAGCAGGATTCCTCAAAGGCAGTAGCTGGATACACAGTGCTAAAAAAACCCCATCTTGGCTGCTAATGGTATGTCATGGACTGTGGGGTTCTGGACACTTTACAGACATCTCACAAAACTCCAGTCCACTGAGAGCTAACATAGAAGCTGAACTTGTGAACAATGTGTTCTCGGTCAGTGGATGTTATCTCCATTCAACCCACACCGAGTTTTTTTTTTTTTTTTTAATACACCTGAACCTTGTCCTTTGTTGTTTTAGATACTCGCATGAAGTTTATGCAGCCACTAGATCAGTCACTCAATCCTGGTCCTGGAGGTTCAACAACAACAACAAAAAAAACATTAAGAAAAATATATTTTCAATATCAACAAAAATAATTTTTTTCTTCGTGTGTGTACAATAAAAATCAACAGTAATAAAAATGGCTATCAACATTCTTCAAAATATCTTCCTGTATGTTCCAGAGAAAAAATTCATACTGGTTTGGAACAACATGAGGATAAATAAAGGATGAGAATTTTCATTTATGGGTGAACTATCCCTTTAAGTAGGATTATAAAGTCTTTCTAAACACTCAATTCTCATTGGCTGGAAGGTGTGCCTTTAAACACAAGTCTTGCATCACACCACACACAAACAGACAGTTGCTCGCTCACAGAGACGGTCTGTACTACCTTTTAGCCAAGACACATCCCATTTGACTTCATGTATACCACTATTATTGCTTATGGCTGAGCTTTTTCATCCCGGGATTGGACAGAAGAGAAGGTTTGGCTTTAGCGGCTCAGATTTGTCAGATCTGAACTACTTCCTGAGGCAAATTCCCAAGGTTTCAGTGCACCTCAAATCACATTACCCAGCTATACAAGACTATATGCAATATTTCATTAAGCCCCAATGCTCAATTATGGGATTCTGGAATTGATGGACTCTCGATTTGTAATTACAGTGAAGTTGGTAGAGGGCTTAAGACATATTATATTTCACATTATCTGTTGAAAAAAACATCTAGCAGAGTTTACATGTCTGATTAAGGTTAAAATTATAGTTAATATTACATCTGCACCCTTAAAATGACTTTTCTAAAGGAGTGCGAGTTCATTCAAAAGTGTGCAGAGCTGTCATCTACACTAGACAAATGGTGTCTATTTTGATGTAATATTTTAGTCACACATAATTCCAATAATTTCATTTATTAACAACCAGTTATTTAGTTGTGTTTTTGATTGTAGTTATTAATATTAATGTTTTGGTCGTCTTATTTTAAAATGTGGGGAAAATGTCATTTATTGCAACCAGACAACAGTAGTTTAAAGTGACTTTTTAAAAAAAATCATACAGGTTTGGAACATTAGGGTGAATAAATTAAGACAGCTGCGTCCCAAATGACGCACTCATACACTATTTACTTATGCACTATGTACTCAACCATGTAGTGTATTAATTATATAAGGCTATTTTGTCATTAATAAGCTGAGTCTGATAGCCCCTCCCTCTTTGCTACATAATTAAAGCTGCAACAGTTGAGTGCATAAAGTGTGCAACATTCCACCAGTTCCATGAACTAGATTGTAAAACATACTAATATCTCCCTCTAGAGGTGATCTACTCTTAATAAAACTTGTTTACCAACCCTTCATAACATCATGAATACAAAGAGAACCAAATTTTACACAGTGTTGTGAAAGTCATTTAATCAGTAGAAGATTTTAGAAAAATCAATTCTTGATTATGAAAAGTTATAAATTCAAAGATGTTTTAGAAAGCTAAACAGCTCAAGTAGACTCTCCCCAAGAAAAAAGAAAAAAAAAAAAATCTCAATTTTTTTTGGTTGTATTTTGTTGCTTAAAAATGAAGAAACAGAACAGAAAATGAACCAGTAGTTCACAACACATTGTCCGTCATGAAAAGATGAAGACAGACAAAAACTTTCTTGACTGAAGATCAAACAGATGAAGAAATCTTACAAGAAAAATCAAACAAACAGAAAGTTGCTCAAATACCTTTCAAAAAATGCCAGAATCTCCTTCAAATCCGGTTTTCAGGAGTCAAGAGTTCATCTAGAGAGGGCGACGGTGTTACAGTTGTTCACTTATCAACAGACCACTATACATAAAGCCGAGAGCTGGTCTAAAGCTTGCTTTTGCTATTATAAGCGAAACACAGAGAGGGTGTTTCTATCTGTAGATCAACACCCCTGTTAAATACAATATCAATATACAGTCCAACTGTGAATTCTAACTTCGTACATGAGGTGGCCCTCCATGACAGGACTTCCTCTGGCCCACAGCAGTTCATTTGGGAAGGGGGTGTACAGTTCCAGATGAAGCAGGGTCAGTAAGAGGCAGGGGTCGCTGTCTGGATCATCGGTGCATGGGCCTCAGGAGCTCTGTGGCTGTGGCAGCATCTGGAAACAGGTTATGGTACGTAGGTAGAGGCACATAGGCAGCTGTGATCATTTTACCTGTTTAATAGAAAGAGAGTTCAATTAATGTCACATACAACATCACAAGGCACTCCTATAAAGAGAAAATCTTGGTAGATGGGAGAAAATAGGACGGGATTACCTGCAAACCACCGGCCGTGCAGGGCGCCGACAACAGCCATTGCTACTGGGATGGTTGGACACTTTACAAAAACATTTCCCTGCCAAACAAGAGCAAAAGTGAGGATTAGGCTTTGATGATTTTGAGCCCTAAAATGTAGGGGCGAGTCTCCAAAAACATCCGTGTCTGGGTCACATTTTGCCCTCAAAATCATTTGCATACAGAATATGATTAATCTTTTCAGGACCACTAGATTGTGATCTTAATTTAAATGAATTATTTTATTTGATTAATTATTAGGTAACTATAAGAGGCTTTCTTTAAAAACAATTAAAAATGCCTACAGACCTTAAATTCTATAATATTATGGAAATAATGACATGCAAAAAATCGTAATGCTCCTAAACTATATTTTCCTCTTTCTTTTTATTTAGTTGTTAAATTTTTATTTATTTATTTATTTTCCAGGAAATATGTCCGAGGCAATGTGATATTTGGTGATATTCAACTACTGTGGCTATAAAAAGTTTACACACCCTTTTAAAGTTTAAAGCTGCTTTTTAATTGTAAAACCTTATTGGTTTTAATACTGCATTAAAGGTGGAATAAGATCTGACATGATTTTGCTTGTATTCATTTTCTACATCTGAAAAACTCCAATTTTAACAGGAGTGTGTAAACTCCTTATAGCCACTGCATAAATGTGATCTCTTACTTGAGGAGAGTTCTTGTCGACGTATATGTGAACAACGCCTCCGTGTTTTCTGCACTCTTCGATAACATCATCCTTTATCTCCAGGTCCCAGCCAGGTTCGTTTTCCCTACAAAGCAACACAACAAGAAATTTTATTTTAAATTACTTTCTTTAATCCAGGACACATGCCATTTGACATCACATACACCATATTGTCAAGGATAGGTTTAATAATTAGTGCAACTCACGTCTGTGGACTGAACATGTTGGAGAGCTGTAAACAATGCGTGGCCAGTGGCTGATTTGGAAGGTTCATAGCTTGGTTCATTCCAGGATTGGAAAGAAGAGGTTGTGTGGTTGAGGCTGTTAAGTGGCACAAAAAACATAAATAACTGTCACTGTAAGCCTTCTGAAAAATCAATAAATGGTGGGAACAGGACAGCAGGTCAACAAGCTCTACTCAGATTTGTCAAATCTCCAGACCTGCCAACCTTTGACCTTTGGGGGGGAATATGGGGTGATACCGGGGGTCATATAGCCTATTCCTACATTACTTGAAGCTCCTTGATAGCTAATGTCAAAATCGTAATTGCACAATGTGCAAAATGCTAGACTTCATGTTAAATATTTTTCATAGGTTAGTACTCAGAGTCTGCACTCAGTTTATGTTATTCCTGTTATACAGTATTTTAGAGTAAACAGTAGGAATACCTATTTGAAACAATACAGTTAGCCCAAGGTTCAATAAATACCTCAGTTTTTTAAACAGAGTTTTCAGTTTGGTTCTGATGGTTTGGCACAACAGAGTTCTTTTTAGCGATTTTAAATGCTATTTAAAAAAAACAAACTCCAGTATACTTTAGGGGTTGAACGACTTCTGATTTTTTTAAAGTCGACTTTTATGTGATGAAAGTCGAGTCGAAGTCGACTAGTCGCTGATGACGTCATTAATGAACAAATAAAACTCCAGTACATTGTTGTACACTGTAGAAAAACATGGATTATCACATGTCTACCTTACATTTATTTTGAGAGAAGTATTATTTTTATAGATTGGCCATTATTTAGTGCTATGAACACATGTAATGTCTGTTTCATTCATACTGGATACTAGAGGGCGCCCCTGCGCAGAAAGTCCACATATGCATCAACGAAGAAATAGCGCTCACGACTCCAGGAAATACCATACACGCGTCTCCTCATCTCAGCGCACGACTCACGGACACACAAACAGAGCCAGTTTGGAGAGAAATAAAAAAAAAAAAACACGGAAAACGCTCTGATTGGTTGAACTCCTCATCTTTTTCTGTTGCTTGTTTACTGCGCGTGGACAGGTCACCGGGTTTTTGCGTAGTTTAGAGTGACAAATCGTACCAGCATACTTTAAGGTCAAAATGCGTACCCGCTACGCAAAATGCATACAGGTTGGCAGGTCTGAATCTCCCCTTGGTGAAAATTCTCGAGACCTCAGTGCACTTCAAATTCCATTCAACTCAATGGATTCTAAGATAGGAATATGAAAATGACTCAAAGACACACCATTCACCAGATTTCCAAACGCCACAGAGCCGCTCATCTGTAAGGCCTGCTTGGCAGCAGCAGGAATCTGCAGTCCTGTACCTAAAAACATCCCAGAGACACGTATAAATGAGTTCACAACAATGCGATATCATATGGAAATGACAAATACACAAGTAGTTTGAATTAGTCACTGGCACATCTGAGAGACAGCAGCGTTCAATCTGTACCTTCTGCCAGTCTTGCCATCAGCTGAAGTCGACCTGTCGTGCCCAAGTCAATGCCAGTTCTCTCCAGTTCATCATTGTCCAAGAAGGAGCTTGCAGAGGAGGCATCCGAACGCTCAGTAACATGACCCACCTTCATTGGCCGTCCCGCAAGCTCGAAACCATTTAGCTGCTCCAGGGCTTTTTTAGCACATTCTGCATCTGCAAACTGCACAAACAGACAGTTAATCAGCATCAGATTTATGATGTAATGGCAAAATAGAACTGTCCTTGTCTTTTTGAAATGAAGTTTTACATTATGCAGATATAGTTGAGTCACAACATGATGAAAAAAGCTGCAAAAATGGGTCATTTAGAAAACATCAAATCGCAAAGGCTGTGGTTTATTTAAAAATATATATATAAACAAAAATTTTTCAGCCAAAATAAAAGCTTGTTGATTTATAATTTTGAAAAGGAAGAAATTATATTAGAATTGAAGGTGCAATACAAGACAATATTAGTACTTTAAAATTACAGTTGAACTGTAAAATAAAATTATATTTTTTCTTAAATACTAGACTTTTATTTTACAGTAAATTATTACATAAGTAACAATTCCTATTTTGTTCAATAAAAATTACAACAGTTACTACTATTATATTGATAATCACAAACTTTTTGTCCAAATTGTACAGCCCTATAATTAAAGGGGTCATATGATGCTTTTTTAAAGATCATTATTTTGTGTATTTGGTGTAACAGAATATGTTGACATGCTTTAATGTTCAAAAAACACATTATTTTTCAAATACTGTACATTATTGTAGGTCCTCTATGCCCCGCCTCTCTCAAACGCTTCGTTTTCTACAAAGTCCCTCCTTCCGACAAGCGCAGTCTGCTCTGATTGGCCAGCTGACCCAGTGCATTGTGATTGGCCGAACACCGCAAGCACTCGTCGGAAATGTAACGCCCCTTACCATAATCGCGAGCTTCATCTTTCAAAATAAATGTAAAGACAGTAAATAATGTCATTAGTTTTACCATCAGTTCAAGCCTGAAAGGGGAACAGAGTCGCGTGACAGACACAGTGATGAAGCTGGTATGTGTTTGCAGTACACAAGCCACGGTTAAGACAGCTGTCTCCACTGTGATGTGACCCTGTCTCTCTCTCTCTCTCACACACACACACATGCGCGTGCACGCACACACACATGATGCGCAAAACTCTGCATTTGAACAGTCAATAGCAAATACTTAAACTAATAACTAAACAGTAGCTGATTCAGAAGCGCCTGATTGTCATAGCAAAGTCAGAATTACCTCCTCTCCTAGGTTCATGAAACGGTCGTCCATAAAATGCATTGCTGTTCTGTTGTAAGTAATCTTAAAGATTCCTAAATGCATCTACTTTCGGAAGGCTAAATAAAGTGCTTTTGCTTTCGCCTAGAAACACACAGCGTCTCCTTGACATGGCTGCTTCAACACTAACTGCGGTTACTGAAACCGCGCCTTCTTTCTTTGCGTGCACATTTGCGGCGGGATTATGCAAATATTTCCACATAGTGGGGTAGATATGTGGGGGCGTGTTAGAATGAGCCGTTTTAGGGGGGCGTGGCAGAGTCTTAACTTTGGTAAAGAATATCTCTTTGGTTTTGAGACTTTAGTCTTTGCAACTTCAGGGATCTTATCTATGCACAATCAGCTTGTAACACTCCAAAGAGAAAGGAAAACTTGAAATCGCATCATATGACCCCTTTAAGTACAGCAAACCTGGATCTTAAAAAAAAAAAAAGAAAAATTAAATTGAAAATTAAATTAGCTTTTTGATGAACTCACTGATATGAAGCCATATCCTTTCGACCTGCCAGTCTCACTGTCCATCATTAGCTGAATGCCCTCAATCTGAAATGAGGAAAGAAACTCACATTAAAAAGAAGATTGACTCCACATTAGTTTTAACTCTGGTTTAGCCGCAGCTTATTTATGCATGCTAAACCATTTCAAATGCCAACCACACCTTTCCGAATGGCTCAAAAATGCCCCTGAGCATGTCCTCAGTTATATTGAAGTGCAGGGAGCCCACGTACAGCCGCATGGGCCCTGCACCACCTCTCTGGAGCATGCTGGCCATGGCTGCTGCCCTGTTCTTCTCAGCCTGAAATATGCAACAATTCGACAAACTGATTCACATGCATTGGATTAGGAAGCAGACATTGGATTTGCGGTGTGTTGATGCTCTAACCTGTGAAACCTGGACTATGATAGGCACTCCCAGAACCCTCTGCCCTGTCAGGCCGATTGCCAACGGTACCGATGTCGCCTCCACAAACTCAATGTAGGCAATGCCCTTTGACCTCCGAGAGTTTCTATCCGAGATCATCCTTACGTCACGGACCTTAAAAAAAATTGATACAAAAGCTCTCATGTGTTTGAACTTTTATTTAACATCAGTAAATGGAGAGAAAACAGAAAAAGAAACCAAAAAGTTAATCACAACCAGGTAGAGGTCTGCATTCCCACGGCTCTCCCGCGGGACCCGACCGATTTTTTTGCACCGCGGGATTAAATTCCTGAATAAAACGCGGTAGCGGTCGGTTACTCTGGCGTAATTTGAACAGGAGCAGGCGATCTAACAATATCCCGTTCCCGACGTCAATTTAGAACAGCATATCTGCGCTTTATTCTTATTGACCACCGGTACAGCTTGCGCTCAGGACTGTTATGCACGCATGCTTTAAATGTCGTTATATTAGTTTAGATTAGACTAGATTAGATTATCCATGACTATATAACATACATACTTTTAAAAAACATTCATGTCAGGCCAAAATGACCTTAATATTCTCTATTAAAATGACATTTTGTGTATTTCTATTGACTATTTTGAACAACATTAATACATTTAATCAATTGCACATTTATGAAGATTTTACAGCAAGAGAGCTGTAGGCTGTAGCCGTAGAATCTTTCAGTGAACAGTTCATAAAATAATTTTTTTTTTCTTTTTGTGAAGAATACTTTAATAATCTGAAGAACATTTTTCCATTATAAAAGAACCATTTGTGCACTGGAAAGGTTCCATGAATGTTACAGGTACATTATGGAACCATCAATGCCAATCAAGAACCGTTTTAAGAGTGTTCAATACTTCAGTACTACAGCAGAGTCAGACAGTGCTGAGCGTCTCACCTGACAGGGCTTTTGTCCTTTTTAAACGGGCTTCTGCTCCGAGAGTGCCTGCGACTAGAGTCAGAATACTCCGTCAGTCTGTGTTTAGCACTTATCAGTGTATGATTACTCAAGACAGAAATACACATCAGCACACAACAGGCAGCATGAGTCACAGATGAGATCACCTGTGTTTGGTGAAATGCTGTGGGCCAGTCTTTCCTCCGGGACCACCATTTAATTTCGGCCCCATACTATGACATAAAACAAGGGTTTGTCTCAGTGTTAAACCAGTCAACTTTCAGCCATCGTGGCCATGCGAATGCTACTACATGCTGGTGCAGTAGGGCAAGTATCAAGTGAAAATCCAAACTGTCTTCACAGAAAAATGTATTTTTATTGATTGTGTAAAAAAGACAGACCTAACATGAGCTTGGATGTTATGTGATGATATTGGCAGAAATCATGTGTGATTTCAGCTTCTTTAAAAATCATGCTAAATAGCCAAATTTAAGTGGAAAACTACACTACCCATAATTCTAAAAGAAGAGCCTTCTTAATCCATCAATCTGAGATGATACTGCTGTTACCATGGACACAAGAACCGTGCCATAAGTGCTGAGTAATCAGTAAAACTTATATTGTATTATCAATATTTGTATACATTTGCAAATATTACATTACCCTCATATATTTTAGAAAAAGTAATATAGGAAAAAACACTTCCAGAACCATGGTCAGTGAAGAAATGGCCAATCACCGTTTACTCTATAAAGACATATTATTATATTGTATATTATATTATATTATATTGAATTTATGGAAAAAATACTTATGCAACCATGGTCACTGAAGAAGTCGGCGATCACTGCTCTGTAAGGGCATTATATTATATTATGATGAATATTTGAAGAAACCCAATAGAAAGAAAAAAAAAAAAAAAACTACAATCATGATCACTGAAGAAGTGGGCGATCACTGCTTGCTCCATAAGGGCATGTTGAATCATGTGACTACAACTGGCCAATGAACTTGTGGTTAAGGTGGCCTCCATGAACCAGAACACAGTGGGCCTGAATAGACGTCGCCTCCAGGTTTTCTATTCTCAGAATTCCTCAAAACAAGCACCAGGCATCTTCAAAAATACAGCAATGTGCCAGTGTAAACGATTGCTAGTATTTCTGCATTTTTAGCAAAGCAGGCATTTAGCAAGACATTAACCACCCTTTAGTTACAACAAACTGTGGCATGCTTCACAAATACACAACATGTGGCAAAAAAATTCAAATTGGTCCATGTTCTGTCACAAAAATTAAAAATCATTTACTCACCCTTACATCGTTCCAAACATGTATGACTTCAACTCATCTTTGAAGTTTAACTGTGCTTGCTCGCTGGGTAAAAACCAATGAGGTTTGCATGGTTGAGCTTCCGTTTATCGTATTTTATGAGCTCTATGTATTTGCGTTGGTCCATGTTTATATGGGAATAAAAGCCTAAATGAAATCTTTTCAGCATACAAAGTGATAAAAGACTCTTTAGAAGACTTGGAATAAACTGCGCAATTCATACTGATTACTTTTACATTGTCTTTTTGAACTTTTCAAAACTTCAAACTTTTGTTTGAAAGGACAAAAAAGATGAAAGATTATTAAAAATCTAAATTTATGTTCCAAAAGTCTTTTGGGTTTGGAACGACATGAGAGTGAGCAAATGATGACAGGATTATCATTTTATGGTTTTAAAAAGCCTTTTTCCAAAAGGTACATCTGGAAAAAGGGGGGGTCGTCTTATATTCGGGCCAATACGGTATTTCACTGTGTTGTTGATGACTGAGTGCCTATTTATAGCCCTGAATTTGGAATTCTGTCCTCTAAACTAAATGATCAGGGGTTAAACTCACAAGGGGCTTTTGTGTCCACGGTGACGTCCACCACGATCCCTGCTGCGGGATCGCGACTGCTTGCGCTCTCTGCTCCGTGAACGCTTCCGTTCCCGGCTACGGCTCCTGCGTTGCTCGCGGGTCTTCTTGTGGCCCCCGCTTCTACTCCTCTGCCGACCTGGGCTCGGACTACGACTGCTGCTGCGTCTTTTCCTTTGTGGAAAAAAAAACACAATTTCATTCCAACATATGAACTTAACTTACCTGAAAAGCTTCAAATCAAGCAGAACGACAAAAAAACAGAGGGTTTTCAGCTTACTTTTTGCTGCGTTCCTCATTATGACCATTGGCGCTGGAGGACTTGCTTTCACCCTGAACAGGATTGATAAAAGAACAACATAAGAATGGAGAGGAAACACTGGAAATAAGAGAGGGAAGGGGGATAAGAGAAAAGACAGAAATACTACTATTGTTGGCTCCTTTAAGATAAATTGCTTGTGTTTTTCCTAATTTTATCACTTTGGATAAAGGCGTGTGCAAATTGAATGTAATCAAATGGTCTGTTGTAAATAATCAGATGTTAGGGGGCCTGTCTTTAACTTTCGAAAACAATCAGTTAAGTTCTAGGTCTTGACCTTGGCTAGGCCATGTGTTTTTAGGGTAGTATAGGTACCCTGCTATTTTTAGCCTAAGTCTTGCTGTAGTCATGATATAGAGCTGCTAAAAGGCATTCCAGAGTGGAGACTGTCAGTCCGTGTGATCTTCCCCAGTTTGCGCTGTTGGACTGTGAGAGCTCGATGCCATCTCTGTCTCACAGCTTGTCCTGAAGCAGACAGGGATTCACACGGCTTAGTCATATCGCCTCCCAAAAGACACCGCATCAAAGTCAGCCCCCCAAAAAAAAGATACAACTTAAAACCTCATCAAAAGATTTTCAGGGTTTTTTTCAGCATTCGGCTCATTTTGACAACTAATACAGGCATTTGTTTTTCATTAATTTAGAAAAAAGACAAATAAAAATTCTATTTAGATCTATTTTTACTGATAGACATTATTATTGGGTAATGCATTAATTTAATAGTAAACAGTTTTATGATAAAAGAGAAATCACTAAAAAGTACATGCACAAACCAAATGCCAATGGCAACGGTTTTAGAGACCATCAAAACACTGGGTAGAGAGACAGTATTCATATTTAGAAAATTCATTTATAGGAAAATTCAGCTCATTTCAGGTTTGAACACCGAAGATGACCTTCAGTAAAGGTCAAGTACAGTCCAGGGCTTCAGGGTTTCAGTTCTTGACTCCAGGTCCAATGTGAATGCTACGCCATACGAAATGCCATTTGCAATAAAGTTTACTTCCATTATATGAAGAATTTCTGAGTTCGACATTTTTTTCTTTTTTAAATGTAGGGTTGATTTTATCCATTTACAACGTATGTCTATAATGTATAGTATGTACATCTCCATTCAAAAGTTTGTGGTAAGCAAGATGTTTTTTGTTTTTTAAGAAATACTTTTATTCAGAAGGAATGTATTAAATTGACCAAAAGTGACAGTTAAGACATATATAATGTTACAAAAGATTTATATTATATTAATATTTTATATTTTTCAACATTAATAATGATAAAAAATGTTTATTGATCCTTTATAAATCATTCTAATATGCTGATTTGCAGCTCATGTGACGCTGAAGACTATTTTATATTTTTCAACATTAATAATGATAAAAAATGTTTATTGGTCCTTTATAAATCATTCTAATATGCTGATTTGCTGCTCATGTGACGCTGAAGACTGGAGTAATGATGCTGAAAAATCAGCTTTGCCATCACAGGAATAAATTGCATTTTAAAAATATATTAAAATAGAAAACAGCTATTTTAAATTATAAAGATATTTCACAAACTACAATATTACTGTTTTTACTGTATTTTTATTCAAATAAATTCAGTCTTGATGATCACAAAAGACTTCTTTTCAAAACATTAAACAATCTTAATCTTACCAACCTCCAAATTTTGAACGGTAGTGCATATTTTTCTGCCACTGCATCAGATTCACCTTCAACAGATTTTTGGTGACATGGCTGAAACCTGAATACTGTCTCTGCTCCATGTCACATTGTGTTTCATCTATTGGCATTCGTTCACCGTTATGGAACCAAACCGATTTAAAGGTGTATGGTGGCGGTCTATTTGTATTTTGGATCAAAGTACATTAATACATTGCGCAATCACTACCTTACTTTTTTTCACAGTTCACACTGGAATCAAAGATGTATTCAGGGGAGTAGAGGTGAGATATCATTAGGCAAGTCTATAAAGAGAGATAGATGGGCATTTATTTGTAATTCAGGATATCACACTAAAAAACATAACTCTCTTTCTCATACACATTACACAAACCTATACTTCAGTCAGGCACAGACAATAAAAAAAGGGTTTTTGAATAGCCATGACAACACGAAGTTCAATTCCAAAAAAAAGGGAAAATTCTGTCATCATTTATCCAAACCTGCTTTCTTCTGAACACAAAAGGAGAAACTCTGAATTTCTGAATTTTTTACCAATTAAAAAAAATGAATGGGCACTGGGGCTTTAAAAAAAAAAGTATAAATAAGAAAAATCACCATACAATTATTATAAAAGTTGCTTGCAAGACAAGTTGAATGACAACATTATAAACTTAAATTTAAATAAAAATATATTTGAAAATCACACAAAAGGACAAAGGTACAAGACGGTGTACTTAACTGCATTAATGTGGAAAATAACTACAATCCCATTGCAAAATATGCATATATAGACAAATATTTAAATAATTTTAGAGCATCTTTCACAGCCTATTCTGGGAGTGGGTGGACTCTCTTTTTGGCGTGATTCTATGATTGGACGACATTTCCTTGCAGAATCATGGGTAATGTATTTTTTCACCAAGAATTTTGCTGTTTTTTTTTTTTTTATCATTTTCAAAGTTTTTAAATTCCTTGTTTTATTGTTGATTATTTTTTTATTTTCTTTTATGTAAAGCACTTTGAATTACCATTGTGTATGAAATGTGCTATACAAATAAACTTGCCTTGCCTTGTTAAATATGATAATTCAGAAACTAAAGTGGGCCGATATCTTCAACAACCTTGTAGGTCACAGCAGGTCGGTCTTTAATGGATTATATATATATTTTTTGTTGAAGTTTTTAGATCTGGACTATTGTACTTGTGTGTACTATTTTTTATAGTGCTTTTTTAATTCTTCATTTTTTACGCTTAAAAGCTTCAGTCCTCATATATCGCTCTTACATGGATAGATGCAAAGTTCAGTAGTAGTACGTCGTAGTTATTTATTTTTATTGCCATGTCAGCATCTAAGGCTATCTTTACGGCAAAAACTGAATTGGAATAATACAAGAGTTACAAACACAAAATAAAAACCAAATAAACAGAAAAACACAGCAGTTAAAATTAGACACGTTTTTTTTTTAATTAACATGATTTTTAATAAAAATCTAAAGCCTTTTCTGGTAAAAGTCCCTGAGTGCGCATACTTCATAAAAAAATAAATAAAATAAAATTTCTACTCGCATTAGACAGTCCAATAAAATATGTTTGAAGCAATGTTCAGATTTTCTCCTCTTGTGTTCCATCATTAGAATGATATCCATAACTACTAGTCGGAAAAGCATGAGGGTGAATACATTAGGAGAGATTTTTCATTTTTAGTTGAATTTATCCTTCAAAAAAAAGAAAAGAATAAAGAAAGATCCAGCAACTTCCGGTCGTCCACCCACCTTTTTATAAGGCGCTTCCAGCATGGCCTCAACATCGAAGTCATCCGCCATTCTGACCTGCTGTACATGAAAACAGCAACATGCGGTTTACAAACACAGCCAGCATGATGAGTTATAGCTTACAGTTCCGATTACGTACTCAAGATTCATCGACAAAGCACACAAACAAACAGAAAATCATCTCACAGTGGAGCTATGCCGCTCTTTAAATAACTCACTCGAGCCTGCAGCACACGCTCAACAACCGCATTACATAAGCAGCTAATTTTTAGACGCCTCACTCTTATCCATACATGACAGACAGCATACTGTAGTTTAAGTCACATTTACATTTACTTATGAGCCTAACTCTTAATTAAGCCAGTAGCTGGTTGTAGGCAAAAATTACCTGGGTTTTATGTCGCACTCCGGTTATCGTCGCGACCTCTCCGACGCGGGCGTCAAGTTTGACCGTAAACAGCTGCGAAACAAACGGTCGGATCCGCCTGTAGACGAGCAAAATATTCAACGAACAATCATTCAAACAAAAACAAATACCGATGCATGTATTTGTGGATATTTGATCAGCTCAGTTCGGTTCGTCATGAGGTTTTCCCCACAAGACAACTTCCTGCTTTCCCCAAAATGGACGCTGAGAGGGGCAGGGTTTACCAGCGCTTCTTAATGTAGATAAAAGTCGAGGAGGATTTTCAGTTTCTGTTCTTCCTGTGTGGTTATTCTTGCAGAACTTGCAATGCGTTTGTTTCTTTGAATACCACCCTTGATAGACCTGCTCTGTTTATTGCACAATTTCCACATGCATTGCAGAAACTAAGTTTAGCGATTTGTAAACACAGGCGGAGTCATCAAAGGCTGGAGGAATAATGGTTAAACCGCGATCTAGAAAAAGACTCGGGTTAAATTTAATTTACTTGAATATTAAATTTACACACATGCATAATAATGTATATTTATGTTTAAATTAAATTATAATATCATTGTTATCCATCTGCCTATAAAATAGAAATTAATAATAATAATTAGTTTGAGAAAATGTTTGTATATTCTTTAACAAAAATATGTGCATTCAAACGCATAATATTATTTTTTAATAATTGGTATAAGTCACAATTACGTCACTTGCTGCTGTGCAAGCATTGTGGTGGCAGAAAAACACTGATAACAAGTGGAGGGAATCGGGTAAAAGCCATGGAATAAGAGAGAAAAAAAATTATTTATAAACTCAAAATTACCTTTTTTTAAATTATTTTATTCCATGACCTTTTTCTTGTTGTAAAAATGGGCGCGGCCATTTGTAAATTCTATGGGTGTGGCTTCCGGTCTCATCTGCTTCCACTCCGTCCAGCTATTTTTAGCTGAACAAAACAGTTCGTTTTGCTGCTTGATATTGAAAGTTGGTGTGTCTTATCATATTATTTTAATGTATTATCTTAATTATGAACACACTGGTTTGTAGTGCAAACTGTTTTACCGTTTACTGTACGTTGTTATTCTCCTCCTTATTTACCTATAGCGGCTAATGAACCGGAAGCCTCACCCATAGGCTTACTTCCGCGTTGAAGAAAAAGGTGGATAGGCCACTACTTTAAAACTGTCATTTTCTGCAACCAGATAGGCTCCGCCCACAAAAAAGGTCATCACTGTTTGCAAACACCGAAATTGGTCTATAGCTCAAACAATAAAGCATGGCATTAGTCAAGGTCATGGGTTCGATTCCAAGGAACTGCATAAACTGATTAAAAATAATAATAAGAAGAATATAGGCTATACCTTGAATGCAATCTAAGTTGCTTTGGAAAAAGCAAATGTAAAAACTAGGCTGAACTGTATGGACTCTTTTCACATTTCCGGGGTTCTCAGAAGCAGAAGTCATCATAGTTGGGAAAACATGTAGTGATGAACGGAAACTATACATTTTACAAAAAAAAAATCCATGATAGTATTTCCATTACTGTCTAAATGTGAAAAAATACAGTTTGATGACAAACAAATTTGAAAGGTCACCCATTCTGACCTTCTCTCCATGGATCCATTAACACCTCCAGCAATCCCCGGGTCTGTGAAATAGAAATAGCCTGTCTGAAATCCTGTGCTGACCAGCTGGCCCCCATCTTTACACAAATCTTCTACAGATCACTGTGTGAAGCTCCTTCCTGCTTCAAATGCTCCAACATCATGGTGTTGGCTTATCTGAAGTACATCACTGGACCCTTGCTGGACCCCCTGCAGTTTGCTTACCGAGCAAACAGGTCTGTGGATGATGCAATCAACATGGGACTGCATTATATACTACAACATCTGGACAGACCAGGGACTTATGTGAGGATCCTGTTTGTGGACTTCAGCTCGGCCTTCAACACTATCATCTCAAACCTCCTCCTGTCCAAATTAACCCAGCTCTCTGTGCCCACCTCCATCTATCAGTGATCACCAGCTTCCTGACAGACAGGCAGCAGCTAGTGAGGCTGGGAGAATTCTCATCTAGCACCCGTACGATCAGCACTGGTGCCCCTCAGGGATGTGTGCTCTCCCCACTGCTCTTCTCCCTCTACACCAATGACTGATAGTGGACTTAGTGATAGTGAAACCCCCCTGGTCTCCCCCCACTCACCATCATGAACAGCACTGTGGCTGCAGTTGTGTCATTCAGGTTCCTGGGCACCACCATCTCTCAGGACCTAAATGGGACACTCACATTGTCAAAAAGGCCCAGCAGAGGCTGTATTTCCTTCAGCTGAGTTCAACCTGCCACAGGACCTGCTGATACAGTTCTACTCTGCAGTCATTGCATCTGTCCTCTGCACTTCTATAACTGTCTGGTTCAGCTCGGCTACTAAAAATCAGGCCTCAGAAGACTACAGCGGATAGTCAGGACTGCTGAGCGAATCACTGGTACAACCCTCCCAACTCGCCAAGAACTGCACTCATCCAGAGTGAGTAAAAGAGCTGGCAAAATCATTCTGGACCTCTCACACCCAGCCAGCTTCCTCTTTGAACTGTTGCCGTCTGGTCGGCTCTAAAGAGCACTGAGCACCAGAACGGCCAGGCATAAGAACAGTTTCTTCCCTCAGGCAATCTCTCTGATGAACAGTTAACTTGGCAATAAACGTGTAATACACAACATCTATACATTTATTTATTTATTTAACACGCATACCTCTGTTGGATTACAAATTTATAAAATGCTATATCTAGGTTCCAATGTAATAGTATTTAAACTGAAAAAGTTATGTACAGAGAAATTCCGGTAACGGGCTGATTCCTGTACTGCATTTGCATGCTCTGTTTAGATTGTCTCCACCTCTATGTATCCCTGCCCCTTGAAAGGTATAAACTCTACTGTGTTGAGCTATAGTCAGACTTGGATGACTGCAGCGACGCACAGCGAGTCCTCAATAAAGAGTAACTTCTGTATGAAAGATATCCCAACGTCTCCTGGTCTCTGCTTCAACGAGGAAAAAGTTTCCTACACCTCTTTTAAAATTTCCTTGCATTTGTACATAACATACTTGTACACACAAATACCATCTATTGTCTATTTTGTATATTGTTATTTCCTATTTACTTATCCTATTTTTATTCTTTTTATTATCTGTGTCTTGTCTTGTCACTGTCATTCTCTTTGTGTCGTGGAAGCTCCTGTCACCAAAACAAATCCCTTGTATGTGTAAACAGGGAATTTGGAATCTGGAATCTAGGAATCTGATTCTGGAAACACTCATGCAGCAGCATTAACCAGATTTTTATAGGTAAACGTAAGAAAACACAAAGCATGAGAGTTATAAATATGCATTACATTTTCAATTAATATTTATATATACAAGCTGGTAGATTTACGATGTTAATAACTGTGGAAATTTGTTATAACAGTCCGTGAAAAGGGTACAACGTGCATAGACCGAAATGTTGAGAACAATATCTTCCATAAATAGACTCTCAAGGACTTCTTGCATCTTACATAGACAGAATATAATCTTCTCTTCAGACTAATATAGACACAGAGGTGCTGTTTGTTCTGATGGGTCAGCATGTACTTCCAAACAACAGTTCATAGTGTGCATACAAAAACTACAGCAGAAGAAAGATCAGTGGGCAACTGCAATAAAAGAGCACTATCTATCTATCTATCTATCTATCTATCTATCTATCTGTCTATCTGTCTGTCTGTCATACATAGACATACAGCTGAAAGCTTCCACAATACTTTTCCTGAAGCTCAACAAGATTTAAAACACACTTATAAACTGATTGGATTTTCTTTTTACTCTCATGACTTCATCATCATTAACATCTTTCAAATGAAATCTCGCTGGCTTTCTAAAAGATGCACTTTTGCGTATTTAAATGCAAATGAGCAGATCGTTTTATACTGTGTTATCAGCACTATTAGGAAACAATAATGTGAACCCCTGTTGAAAGTGCATTGCTCTGAACTCAGCTGTGTGCTTCTATCATGACTTTTTAACTGATTGTGCCATTGATCTTTGCAATAAACATGTTAATAAGTTTCTTTATGCTGTTCTCTTCCTATCAGTCACTCTTTTGTGATATGATTTAAACCGAGTCTTTACTCTACCCTTTGTTGAAGTTGAAAAACTGCTGAGTGATTTAAAATCCTGGGAATGGTTATGACTAAGGACAAAGTGCAGTTGGCTTCCCCTTTGCCTAAAGCAGCATGTGGATGATGTAACTTCATGTTTTAGCCAATGGCCAGCATTCTGCTTATCAAACTACAGTAGATAAAATAAATAAGTGATACAAGAAGATAAAGCGATGCAGAGCTGCTGGCTGTGCACTCAGTTACAGTCAAAATGAAAAATAAATCTACCAATCTGCGTGTGCGGCTCCCTGCACTAATTTTTGCATTGGAGGTCATGATTGTTGTTCTCTATGCAGTCTTTGTGACATATGAAGATGATGCTAATGCACTTCTACAGAACAACCAGACACAGCCCATGGAGAACTCATTGTATAAGAACTATCCATTTTTTGCCGACATTCAGGTGATGATATTTCTCGGATTCGGCTGCCTTCTGGCATTTTTCCGGCGCTATGGATTTGGTGGAATGGTGTTTAACTTCCTAATCGCCACATTTACCATTCAGTGGGCCATTCTGGTGCAGGGCTTCTTTCAGTTTTACTATGATGGGAAGATTCATCTTGGTGTGCTGAATCTGATCAATGCCGAGTTTGCTTGTGCTGTTGTGCTGATCTCTTTTGGAGCAGTGTTGGGGAAGACGAGCCCTGTGCAACTCCTGGTAAGTTGATTATTTTTGCAGCAGGTGGCTTGAAATTAGATATTGAATCTACAAAAGATGTTTTGCTTTATTTTCCATTGTCAAAAGGCTGCAGCACTGCAAAGGTACAGTGCAAGATGTGTGCTACCTAGGCGTTACATTAAGTATTAGGACGGCTCAATCATGTGATAATCACACTTTTGTTAGTACATTTACATCACCATGATCAATCCCTTGTAATACCTCATTTATAAGTTGTAAATAAAAGCATCTGCTAAATGAATATGTAAATTTGCTCATATCACACATCCTCATTCTACATACTGTGTATTGTGCAGATCATGGCCTTGCTGGAGATCCCTGTGTTTGGTATCACAGAATGGGCTGTAGTGAAATACCTGAAGATCAACGATGCTGGTGGCTCCATCCTCATCCATATTTTTGCCTGCTACTTCGGACTGGGTGTCACCTTTGTCCTGTACAGGCCCAGCCTAAACGAGGGACACCCAAAAGAGGTGACAAGTTATCAGTCAGATGTGCTATCTGTAATGGGAACCCTGTTCCTCTGGGTGTTCTGGCCCTCTTTCAAC